TGGAATCAACAGAAGTCAGATGGTCGGGTTGAATTCTACCTGTGCCCGTTGGCATCTGTACTTTCTCTATCAGTAGTTGCGCTGCGGAGCAGAGTAAAAACTGTAAACATTCAGCCCAGTTCCCATGAGCCAGATTAGAACTCACGACTAACATGAGACAGAACCCACTCAGCAAGAGTGTAGGTATTGTGTATAATTGTGAATTTTAACAGCCAAATTCTAGTTAAATTTTGGTCTTTTCTTTTTTTATCTTAGTTAAGTCAATGGGAATGTTTTCTCAAATATCAAAATTATTTTTGGTCTTCTAAAATTACACAAAATATTTTCTTTTTTGGTCTTCTAAAATTACACAAAATTCAGCCGACTCATTCAATACACAGTTTATACATTTAACTGGGCTTCTATTGCAAGACATTGTCATTATCATCTATTATTTTTAACAAATATTGTTATCCTGTTACAGAGAAAAATACAAGAAAACTGTGGTGTTCTTGAACAGCACATCTTAAAACCACATTCCAATAATGTGGAAAAGTTTTGTTCGAGCTTTTCAAAATCTGACCTCTGAGTCTGGACACAGTGTTCCATATTGGTTTAACAGTATCATTTTGGTGAGGGTGGTCTGCTCCCTCTCTCCCTCTCTGAGTCTAAATGGCTCTGCGCCATCCCGCGGCCCGTCGGACCTGGTGTTATGTAGGTCACTTTCCTCTTACAGTGGAACAGGCTTTGAGGCCTCATCTATTTTCTGACATTTTTCAGACAGCCCATCAGCTCTTCACAGCTCCCAAACTGCTCGTAACACTTCACCACACGTCTCTTCTCCATCACTTTCAGACTGCTAACAACACTGTCAGTGAAGCTCCGTCTCTGTGTCTCCATCCTTCACTCCTCCTGTCTCTTTTCACAGCTGTCGTTGTAAGATGTTTCAGGGTTTGCAGCAGATTTCAACCCACTTGCATCATTCAAGAGAGAAAAAAAACACTATAATATTTAGTGCTGTGACAAATCTGCAATTGTGATCGATGAGCATCCAGGCTTGTGATGTACCTGAGGCTTCTGGTCATCAGATTGTTCCCTCGGTGAGTCGTTTGGACACTGCTGTGCCACTGATCCTCAATCAGCTGGCATTTGTCTTCCCTGCCAGGACAAATCTGTTCAGGACAAATGGTCCTGCGGTGCCTGAGGTAGAGATAAATATGGCTGTGCAAAAGAAAAAAAGGAATCAGAAATCTTGTCGAGGAGATATGACAGAGAGGCCTCGTGTGGAGTTGAGCTGAAAGACAAAGGAAAATCAGTAGAACATATTCATTCACATAGACTATTTCCAGAAAATGACGAATAAAAGAAAAACAAACTTTATTTTCTGGAACAGACATTTCAAACAGGAGACAGGTCTAGACTGCAGGCAGGCCAGTCAAACACACGTGTCTATGGACAAGTCCTGCTAACTGAGGTGGTGCTGATGTGTGGCATGATAATTTTGCTCATTCATATCTGTATGTTGTTTTAATGCAATTAATTACTTGCAGTAAATTCAGTCTCAGGAGGCTTCCCTGATGCAGCTTGGACTGGCAATGATTTTTTCAAAGCCCTGAGGCCAGATCATAGTAACTTGGCTGTTTACACCTGGATTTTTATGGGTCATCTCTTAATTATTGATTATTATATAACATCTGTTAATGTACGTCTAGTGTCTCTTAACTATTGATTATTATATAACATCTGTTAATTCTACTGTTTTCCTTTCACTTAAATTAATAACTTATAACCCTCGCTGGACAAGGATCTGCAGCGAACATGATGGATTGTCCTAATTTTTTTTTCTTACATCAAAGTTCTTTCTACTTCATATTTGTGTTTTTGGCCTTATCTCATACCGCATGAATGGATGCAATCATGCACGGATAATTGTTCTGTAGTTGTTTCTCTTTATCCTTGTTTTCTTGTTTGTTTACAAAATGACCAAACTCGGGGTTAAGTGTTTGAACTCCCTCTTCAAACACTCTAGTTTAGTTTCATGTTTGTTTCGAAATCTGAGGCATAATGGATGTCCTAATCTGTTTTGGCCGACATGGTGGTTGCCTGTCCCCCTTCTAGTCCTTGGTTTTTATGTGATGTGTCCCCCTCCTTAGTCTAAAGACCCCAGCAGCTGGCAGAAATAAAGATAATGAGTTTTTCAGCATTGCAGCACAGCTTTGAGCCACTTTGAATTATAGAGATGTAGAGCAGTGGAACATGGCTGCTATGTGTCCACCCCAGGGAAGGTGTACCAGGAAGTTCTCTCAGGCATCATTCAGTTTGGGACAGAAGATGAAAAAAGGATTAGATAGTGATGTCATAAATTCACCTACTCTCCAGGCAGAGTGGTGTGTCTTACAGAGTTTCCAGAGGAAGGAATGGATTTGACTGGGGCAGCTGGGGGTGAAAATCCTTCGCCGTAGGATCAGGGAGCGATACCTAATAATTTTCAGCCTCTGAAGTAATGCTGAAGTATTGTAATGTGAAAAGCCACATGAAGTCAGCACTACCAAACATCTGTATAATAAAAGCAGAGAATGTGCCTTTGCTGCTGTGCCAGGAACCATTTCTTAGCTTTGATTATAAAACAAAGAAAATACCACTGACTGATATTGCGACTAATGAACAGCAGATTTTCCCCTGGAGCTATTAACACTACATATGACTTTGGCATACATGACTTTAGAGTCAACAGAAGGATGAGGCCCCCTGACTCTAGACCCCAGTCACAGTCTCCTATCTCTCTATATTTAAATCACAGATGCATTTTTTAAAAATAAAATCCAAACCAAACTTGGCTCTGACGTTCGTCCACCGATGCGTGTGTGTGTTTGTCCGTGGCTGATGTGAATCCCAGATATTTTCCATTATCCAGTGAGATATAACATCGTTACAGACAAGGCAGTGACTTGGCAAACTTCCCAAAGTGAGAGATTACTCCCCTCTGGGTCACAAGACCTCATCACACACAGGTCAGAACAAGGAGCTGCAGCCACTTATGTGGACCATGTGCTCTTATCACGAAGCCAGTCGTGATGCATCGCAGAGACGGTGAACTTCAAAATGTGCCATTTACATTTCAGCGGTACAGTTAACTGCAGGAGGTCACGTCGATGCACTCCATGAAAGTCATCACTCTTAGAAGCAGATGAGCTGCTGCAGGAGTGCCACTGCCTCGGCAATGTGATTATCATCTGGGCCGTTTTTAAGAACTTGGGAACTGTGTATGGTTTCTTTTGCGAAATGCCACTGGAAAAGGTCAGCGCATGAAATAAACAGTGTGAAGTCTGACTTCTTTAAACATTATAAGAGGATGGTGACATTTAAGGCTCTCCTAAATGTCAAACCTCTGCTGAACAGGTGCATGGTCAATGTGGCGTTTAAAGGCAGGATATTGTGACATCCTCAGAGGAATGCTGAGTGAAGTTCTCAGTTTGATTAGTCAATCGTGAGTACAACCCGAAAGTATGACGTGTCTCTTATTACAGGGTAAAATAGGACTTGATTGCTGCCGGAGAAAAGAGTGTTTTCATTTGTTTACATATGAGTCATTCTACCACACATTCTCCCACATACCATCCGTCACTTCAACCGTCCGTCTCTCCCTCCCCCTCCCTAACCCTCTCTCTCTGTCTCTCTCTCCCTACCTTTTATCCATCTTCCTTTGTTTTTTAATGTTTCACCGGATGTCATTAGGAGTGACCACCCCGAAGATGAGACATTGAAAATCCAGTGTGTGTGTGTCTGTGTTAAAGCACCTGAAATGGGAACCACATGTGTGTGTATCAGAGCCCGGGCTAATGAAGTCTAGTCCATTATTTATTTCCCGTGGCCCTGTCACTTGGCCGGTCGTTGCACCTGCACACACACACACACCATCTGTGTATAATGTCCATTCACATTTATACTGCAGAAGGCCAAAGTCCCTGGAGTGGTCATTAGACGGTAGAATGAGAACCTAAGTGAGGGAGAGAGACCAGTGCTTTTGGCGTCGATTATGAACAAGTTCTGGGTCGAGCAGTAGAGTGGGCGGTTAAGGAGGTCACCATAGATCAGAGCCGTAATGGCTAGAACATGCAGTAGCATTTTGTCCACTTTTTCTCAGCCCCTATATGGCTTGCCTTCATTTCTGTCTGCCATGTTCATACAGGCTGAAACTCATACAGGCTGAACTAGAGGTGCTGGGATAAGTATTGGTACATGGGTAAATCTGATCTCCAATTAATATACAACGAACAGGAAAGCAGTGATATAAAGGTGACACGGCTCTGTGGGAAATTAGTTGATGTTGATTGTTAACCCACTTAAATAATCTACACAAGGTTGATGAGACACAAGGCTTTTAGTTTAAATTTTCACAATTATCTTTATCTATAATGTCTTGTTGTTTTTTGTTTTTTTTTTTGTATTAATGACTGTCTCTCAGTTGGAAGTCTTCTGTCATTATATCCACACCACTTAGCTTTCTGGCCCCGTGTTCTTGCCCTAATCCCCTCTGCTGGCTCCCACTAATCTCTACCAATAGCGAAACAATGTGGCAGACGGAGAAAAAGAAAAGAGAAGGGGGGGGGGGGGGGGGGGGTGAGTTCCTAAAAGACAAACATGCAGTGCAAATGTGGCTTCCATTTTAACAGGACCTCTTAATATCTCCCAGTGGTATAAGAGCTAAGCTGAAACTTCCCTTAAGCACAGCCTCGTACCTACATTTATATTCATACTTGCAGTTTGACTATAATAAATACACAAGCAATTAAACTTTCCCAGAATATATTAAACCACTTCCATCCTTCCTCTTGTGAGTGTGTGTATCTGTGTGAGTGTGTGTGTGTTTAGCTATGTGTATGTGTTGCCTGTGGTTTTCTATGTTTTCATACTCTGGATAAAGAACTTCTGGATAAATCTTTGCATTTATAACAGCCTGCTTTATCCATCAGAATGAACTGATTATTTATTCTCAAAATATATATGTGTCTGTTTTGCAGGGAACTGAATGGAAATAACCTCACACGCGTCACTAAGAGTGATTTCGCCGGACTCAAATACCTGCGGGTTCTGTAAGTATTCGTCTCCTTGCCTCCTCGTTGATGTATGATGATGAGATGTGTCCATCAGTGTCAGTGTTTATCTGCTGCTGTTCACCAGTTCACCATGAGCTAGTACTCAGGCTCTGTTGTACTCACAGTAGCATTAACCCAGTGAAGTGGTGCTGCTTCTGTTCAGATTGAAACTCGGCAGTACATTAAGCTGCTGCTGAGTGACCATGACTAGTAATATAATGGACTACTCTCACAATGTTCAGTCTGTAGAAGCAGCACTTATTGTCCTGCACACACTCAGACTCTCATAGCTCCCGTAGATCAACATGTAATGTATGCACAAGCTCAGGTCCTGAGTAGGTTTTCACCACAGTTAACACACTGGAGAGAAGTCACTGCCTCCCTCTGTGTAGAATTTCAGCAGCACCTGTGACTTCAGGTATTAAAGTGCTTGTACAAGTGTCCATAGTGAACATATGTACACGCACACGTGCATGCTAGTGGGGCAATAGGTGTTAAAAGCCCCGCTGGAGAGGAAGCTCTACTGCCTTTAAATGTAACACGAGCTCCACATAATTCTTACTTCCCGGCCAAGTGCGTCTGTGTTCAAGTCTCATTGTTGCTCACCCTACCCCCGTTCTCTACTTCTAAGCCCTCTCGTCTTCTTAGACCACATGTAGGTTAAATGCCCCTGTGTCGCCACCTTGTCAACAGCAAGTAAGAAGGAAACAACTCCTAGCGGGGTTACTTAGAACAAAACTTCCTTGATTGTGAAAAGCTGCTCCGTGCAGATTTATAACTCAGTCACTTTTTAATGTACTTGATATTTAAAGGGGGGCATTTTTGCAGTTTAATGGACTGTAAAGGAGGCAATATTAATCAGTAGATGCTATTGTGTGATTCTGTTGTCATTATGGGCCAGGCTTTTTCATTCTTTAAGGATTTTGGGGGCTTTGTGTGGTATAACACAATGTGTAGTAATGAAATGCAGTAGCAGCCTTTGTTAAATTGCACTGATATACTCAAGTACAACCTTTCAACCTAAAGGGCTGAGTTCATTTTGGGAGCATGCTGGTTTCTACCTGGGCTTGACGGTCATGCACATTCAGCTGCTGTTTCTACTCTGAAAAGACCGAAGGAGTCTGAAATAATACAGAAATCCCAATTGCTTTCTGTCAGATTGAACAGTTTCCTAAGTTAAAGTTTTGTTTGTAGATCACACACCATTTACTTCTGTTATCTCCGACATGTATATATCTACTGTATACATGTGCATGGCATGTGTGTGTAAAACAATAGAAAGTGTGTCAGTACCTGTGGGCCAACAGACATAAGACAAGCAACAGCTTGACCTCTGATCCCTCTGACCCCGGGGTCACCCCTAGAAGGAGCCAAACAGGAAGAGAGGTTTATCTTTACAGTCAGCTGCCATCTACCCCATCAGTCTAAAATCAACACAGCTGATTTACCACCACTCGTCTGGCAGCCTCGCTGATCTAAATCACATCTACGTGTATGTCGGGGGAGGGGAGGGGCACGCAATGCTGAATACCCCTTGACTTATCTAGAAAAAGATTTTTTTTTAAATGCAACAGTAGTTTTTTTATATATTTCCATTTAAATGCATGAGTGAGAGGTCTGTGGAGAATTACACGTTTCTCGCTGTGTGGATGGAGTGTGAACAGTGATTAGCATTTATATTCGATGGGGAGGAAGCCCAGACTGCTGAGTTGCAGTGCAGTGTGGCCTCGGCGGAGACATGAGAGGTTACCTTCAACACAGAACAGTTGTACAACGTAATGAAGGAAAGCTCTTGTTGCCTCTGAAGCCACTAGATGCTGTTTTTTCATTCCCAAACTTGTGTTATTGTAGCACTTCCAAAAACTTTTTTTTTTTGTCCGTTAGTGTTGGCAACGAAGTTGGAGACAGAAGAGATTGTGTGTGTGTGTGTGTGTGTCTGTCTGTGTCTATGTCTGTGTCTGTGTCTGTGTCTGTGTGCGCCTATGTTATCCCTGCACACACTTAGACACACTACCTTACTATCCTTTGACGGTGCCAATTGCATGCCAACTCCTTTCGCTTCGCTAATGTTTTCTGACCCCCTGCCTACCTTTCATCTTGTCCCCACCCATACGCTACTCGCCGTGGACCACACTAGAGCTCCAGCCCACACTTTCTGAACTCCCCTGGAAACTTTCCTGGCTGCTAATCCTGATTAATTTGCCAAGATTCCACAGTGTGCCCTCAATCCACACCACTGTCCACTGTGTGCATCAGTATGTCAGTTATTCTGATGGTTTTGTATGTTGACCATAATAATGTAAATGTGTACTCTTGAACACCCGAAAATATATTTTCCAACACAAACTGTTTTACACAAAACAAACTGAGACCTGATGTGATTGTGTGTTTGTTACAAAGTAAAGTTTTTTGGCTGCATCTTGAGCAGCTGTCGCCTGAATCCAATAGATACAAACACGAGAAATCCCATGGGTGTAGAGCATTAAACTGAGATACTAAACTCTGAGATACTAAACATATGGTACATGGTACTGTAGCACTGAGCTACATCTTTGGCCTATATGGCCTATACTGCTCTTTTCTAACCACAAATGCAACCCCAACTACTTGTCCCAAAGAAATAGGAAATTAACTTAGCAGTTAGTATTGGGATTAGCATCGTTTTAGATGTCAGTCCTGTGGCCTGTTACAAGAGATTGGGGGAGATTGTTTTAAATGTATTATTTTAGTCTTTGTTATTTTAGAAAATTCCTGCATACTCCACTTTGTAAGCCATCCTTCAGATTAAAACCAAAGACCTTGCTGAATTGTATTTTTCTAAGGCTCTGTTTCTGTCCTCTCTCTGCAGGCAGCTGATGGAAAATCAGATTACAGTGATAGAACGTGGGGCATTCGATGACATGAAGGAGCTGGAGAGACTGTGAGTACCACCCAGAGTGACCTGAATTTTGATTTCCTGAATAAACGTTAAATAAACTGAGCCCTTTTTCTTTGCCTGACCTCTGCTCAATGTACAATGAGGAGGAACCGTAAAAGTACCGGGAACAGTAAATGGTATATATAATGTGACGCACTTTGTGATTCTACTGTGGTTAAAATGGTGTGTAGACAGTTTAGCCTCAGTCGTCTCTATTAGCTTTGCCTGGAATGCCCACACTGGGATGTGTGGTCTGAAGAGACCTCCGCGCCGCAGACCCGGGCTCATCTGGACACCACCAGGACTCTTCAGCAGCTTGTAAACTGGCTGGAAAAACACACAGACAAACAGAGTTCACCACACCTCGACAGTAAACCACACCCTGACCAGTTCATTAGCAAATCAATAGTGCTGCCCTTCTGGAACCATGAACAGCTGATGATTTACTGGCTACAAAATGTCAACCACACGTAGTGATCAAATTCAAAAGACTTTCCATTAATCTGAAACCAAAGTTAACAATTTAACAAACTCATGTTCGTGTATTTCCTTCCATACTGTATTCAACTGCACCCAAACCTTGGGAAGACATGTCCATTTGCCAGACCAATGTGGAGACTCGTTTCTCAGATGTTAAAAGCCACTAACCCACCAGCAGGTACACTTTAGTGCTAACGGAACAGCGGCAGACTGTTAATACACATTAGGCCCTAAATCTCCACCACAGCTGGCCAGGCACTCTCCTCAGAGTGTACTGAGAGTGGCACAGGTCCCAACATCTGTCTGAATGTGTCTGACGGCGCAGCAGTGGCCTGCCGTACAGATTTGTTGCCTCTCTTTCTTTCTCTGTGCCACAGCCGCTGCTTTCACTCCCATGTGCCTCCAATGGGCCATTCAGATGGGATAGAGCTGTGGTTTCCAACAGATTAGCAACAGTCTGTTCCTCATTGACTTAATTGTTGTATTTGCATAAAGCCTGCCAGTCCTGGACGTTAGTTGTTTGACACGGTGTCAATTGCCAGCCACCATTTCTGTCAGCAGTTCCCTGGGCCGGAATGGAATCATCCATTCTTTTAATTTTATTTTGGAAACATCGTGGTTTGATAGTTGGTCCCAGATAAAAATCTGTTCTCGTTCAGATAACTGAAATATGTACATCGCTCGATTTAAATAGGGAAGGTTGCTACTCCGTTTTGCTGGGAAAGTCAGGAAAGCTGTGGATTCTGCCGGGCACAGCACTGTGACCTCACTGTGCAGAGTAATTTACAGCGCTGTCTCTCTTTCTCTCGCACGCTTTAATTCGCCTGAACCTTCAGATGGATATTTATGTGACATTCGGGGCACACTGAAACACAATAGCCTGTGGCTAAGCCGATTCTAAGGCAACTAGCAGAAATTATTCACAGCCTACACACTCGGAGGCACACATGCAAATGTACACACACACACACACACACATACAAACTGCACCCTTGATCATATGTTTTCCCTGCCGCAGGCGGCTGAACCGTAATCAACTGCAGCAGCTTCCTGAGTTGCTGTTTCAGAAGAACCCGGCTCTGTCTCGACTGTAAGTCCAGTTTTTTATTATTATTATTTGCTGTGCACACACTCTCTTCTCCTTCCTCTCTGCCTCTGTCCACATCGTCTTTCTTTGTCACTTCTTTATTATCCAGACCATATTATGTACTTCTCCAGTACAAAACATGTTTCCAATAAGTGTGATTAATGTTGGCTTTGGTTTGATTCAACTGAGGGACAAATTAGCTTTTATTACACTTCACAGGACCTCATTTACATTTGGACTTATTAGGTTACTAAGTGTGTGAGGTACACTGCACTGTCAGTGTGTGGGACCAAAATAAACTAGATGAGTGGAACTCTTGAGTTTTTTTGCACATTGTTGGGTCTCTGCGCCAGGTCGTTTGTGGTTTTTCTGCATTAGGCATTCTGCGGGAAAATACGCTGTTGACAGGGAGTTGGTGTAACATTGGGATTTAAAACTAAAGGACACGTTAGATTTTAAATCTTTTTTTCCAACTCAAAGGATGTCTATGCTACTTAATGAGGTCTTTTTATGTCGATGGAAAAGCCCCAGAGCTCACTCTGCCAGTGAACTCAAATACCTCCAACTTATGAATGAAATGTGTCATCATAGTTTTCATTTGGTTTCGCCTTACGGTCCCTTACTGTCGCACTCCCACACACACACACACGCACCCCACTGGTGAGACAATCTCATTCTAATGGTAATCTTCTATTCCTATTTGGATCGAGACTCCAGCTTTTTTTTTCTTTCTTGAGAATAATCAGTGCTGATCATTCCAGCTCCCATTATTTCAGTTCAGATTACCTGAAGCATCTGGGAATAATGAAACCGTGGGACATGGAAAAATCATTTTCCCTCTTTTCTATCCACATGTTAGTGCTACTAACCCACGATCCCTGGCCTCGCCGCTGCATCTGTTTATCTTGTGTTTGATGTCAAACACCATCTTGAAACTATCTGTCACTTCCTCGCAACTATCTGTCCACGTCACCTTTTATTATTGCCAAAATCAACCTGTGGGCCCAAAGAGCGAAGCCTCACCCTCAGGGGCAGCACTGTCGTATGTGAGGCTCAATAACACTGAGCAGCACTGAGTTGTCTGTCTCTCTGGTGGAGACACAGAGCAGACCGAGGACTTCCAGACCAGTGGATGGCCTTGAACAAGTGTGATTAGTCCATCTGGAGCAGCAGACCCTGCCAACTGTGCTCACGTAGCCGCCATGTTTCATCCAATATAACTTCATGCTCATTATTCTAAAGCAAGCACTGGCTCTCCTTCTATGTTGTGGACTAGGAGACTTTGTTTAAAATTATCTAATTGACTCAGTGGGCGTATTAAGTGTTTGTTTTTTTTATCCTTGGCTCCATAAAAAAGAACCATTATAGACCTTGGATTTTGATAGGTGTGTAAGTGCCATATGTTTCTGTAAAGAGGCAAACGCAACTGAGAGCCATGAGTTTTTTCATTTTAATAACGCATTGCCTTGCAGTTACTTTCTCATGAAAGACTTGTCTTGCGTACAAAGCAGATCAGGAATGAAAAAAGCTTCCTCCTAACTAATCAGCAGAGATCAGGAATGACAAAAAAAAAGCTTCCTCCTAACTAATCAGCAGTGGGTCTGGGCCACACAAAGTTCTGGTCCTGTTCTGCTCCCACGGCATCTTAAAGGGTTGGTTCTCAAAGGTTTTCTAAGGATGAAAGAACGTCATAGGGCTAAGTTAAGGTTTCGTGTGTCTGGGGGGGTCTTTGCACTTGCTCAGAGTCTTGAGTGTGGTTTGTTGGTTTCTGTCTTGATGATCCAAATAAGATAAGTTCCTGTGAAAGCCCTCACTGCCCTCAGGTGGAGCATGAACCAATATACTCTCCCTTCTCATTGGAGCAGGATTAACCTCCTCCTTTCTCTGTTCGTGGTCGAACAGTCTTTGTCTTTTTTTTCTCATCTTGGAGTTAGTTTAAGGCAAAGCTTGTATAGCAAAGTGGCTATTTGTCTTAGGCGTCCTGCTGAGAGGCCAAACAAAAAGGGGGACGTGGGGTAGAGAGGGAGGGAGGACGGGTAGATGAGACTGTTGCTCTCATTAAACTGTAAAGGAAAGCTAGCACAGTTAATAAAAGGCATCAGCTAAATGAGCGGTGAGCACTGTTGTTCAGTTGGAGAGTTTTTAAACACTCCTCTCCCGCGCTGTCATTAGGCTAACAGGGTAATAGGTTTTCACTACAAAGGGACACAATAAAATGTTTTTTTTTTTCTGGAATGTCGTGTTGTCGTTATTTTTCTGGGGACTACTTACAAAACAGACAGGTTCAATATAAAGTTAAATCATCTCGTCTTATCTGCTACAACACTGCTTTAACTTTATTCATGCTGCTGCTCCCCGTGCCTGAGAGATAGTGGAGACAATGATGCATGAGTGCGGAGGAGAGATAATTGGAATTGATTAGAGATGATTAGAGATTGTTAGAGTCAGTTAAAGCTGCCTGTGATGGATGACGCTGACGAGAGGGTATGGGAACAGAGGCGCAGAGGTGAGAGGAGCGACACAGAACATCAGTGAACAATAACAGTGAAAATAGAGTTGCATTTATCACCGCTAACGACCTGTTGCCCTCAGCCCACTACCTCTGACTTCTCCTCATCTCATTTCCACTGCACTTCAGATCTGTAATCAACTCATCCCCGTCTGTAATTAGTGTCTTCTCGCAGCGGGGGAGCGGGAGGAAGGAAGGAAGGAAGGACAGCAGGGATGATGGAAAAATGGGAATAGGTGAGCGGAGTTGGAGGAGTGCAGCACAGTTAGCCTGATAGCTGGCCCCGGGGAGTAGCATCTGGTTTGAGCTCAGGGTGGGGGGTTGGAGGTGGAGGGGTATTTTGTGGTTTTTGATTACCGTGTAGCGTGACGCTGCCACAAACAAAATACTGCCAACAACACGGAGTTGGACGAAGGAATGTTTCTTTTATTTAGGGCTAATGTGCTTCGTTTTCACGGTGGGGTGAGGGAACACAGAGTCGGGGTGTTTACTTGTGTTTCTCTGCAGGAGGTGAAAGGGTGTGAGGGCGGAGGTAGGGTGTGGTGGTACCTGCTTTAGGAACAAGCTAATCCTCTCACTGCCTACTGCTGTTCTGCAGTCCTTGATCAGGGTGACACCCTCAGATAGTCTCACCCCTGTTTCTATAAAAAAAAATTCTGGGAATTTTTTTTTGTGACCCAGCCTTTCAACCTTCAGTTGTGTTGCCCTTAGAAGTGACTCTCTGAACTAAGGGAGGTTGGATGGTCTTATTTCCAGTGTGAAGTCGATCAATGGTTGGTTCATCTGCCTCTCCATTGAACACCTTTCCCTCACATTTGTCTGTAGTTTGGTTGTGTGGAAAGGTTTTTTTTCCAGTAAAGTTAATTAAAGGTCCTTTTCTTTTTGGTGTTTTTTATTTCGTTATTATTCCATTACATAAGCAGCAGCTAATTGTCGCCGACCGAGAGTATACACTCACAGCTTCTGGCTGGACAACTCAAACACACACAGGCAAAATGTAAATAACAAAAGTCATTACACTAACACACGCAGAAAACACTGAAATTACATCTGTGTGTGTAAATGCGAGGGATTACGTTCTTCCACTGACATCCTGATGTCGTGTGGAGCCGTTGTGTGTTTGTGTTGCCAAGATGCTGCCTGCTGTTTGTTGGTTGTTTGATTCTTTGGTAACGCTAGCTTCGTGCAGGACAATTGTTTGGTACAAGAAGATCTAAAATAAACGATACACGCTGTCATTAAAACGTATAAATAATGTCTCCGTGGCAGTGACCCCATTGTGTTTTGACTTTATTGCTGTTCAGTATACACTGTGTCCTTTTTGTTTTGATTTTCTTGTGTACGACGTTTGATTCGTGGATACTGTGTGTCGGTATAGCTGTACTTGTCGGGACATTTTTTTAATACTATAGTAGTGGGGACATTCTGCATTGTTAGAGTCAGAAGATTGGAGTCGGGGTAAAGATTAAGATCAGACATATATTGGCAATAGTTTAGATTGGGGGGGAATATATTATATCTATGTGAATGACTAAAAAAGACAAAAAACAGTGTGTGTTTCTGGCAGCCTGTTAGTTGTCCAGGCTGGTCCTGTCATTTCATTCCTTTGTTTCTGCTGATGAATGACCTGCTTCAACGTGCTAGGTCTCTCTCTCTCTCTCTCTCTCTGTCTCTTTCTCCCTCTCTCTCTCTCTCTCTCTCTGAGGACCATTTGGGGCCCCACTTGGCAGCAGTCCCCATGGCAACCTTTCTTCATCAGTAGGTTTCCATGCCATGGATGGCAATCCTCCCAATTTTTTGACTTTGGTTTGTTTGACACTATGTAAACACTGACAGCAAAGAGTTCATTGAGTAAAGTTAACTAATGTCAACAGCAGAGAGATACCTGTTTGCTGCTTCACTTCCGACAAGTGGTAACTGTAACTGCCCTCACAAATAGTTTTGGTTTAATGTGTCTAGATTTGGACGTGCACTGTGAAGCTCTGAGGTTTGTGGTGATTTACAAAAAATGCAGCAGCAACATCTTTTCACAAAGCGCTGATGCTCACACATAACCAAGAAAACTGGTTGCAGTAGCTTCTTTGCGCTACCAGGTGGCTGCAGCATTTTTCAAATGTTACATTCAACTTCATTGGCCACCCAACAGTCAGAATTATTATGGATGCTTAAGACCAAATGTATTCAGGACCAAATTTCATTACAAGAAACTGTGTAAATGTTTCTTTACAACATTTGCCAAATATGTAAAATACCTGACCTGGCCTCCAACCAAAATACACCAGTCGGACCTAAACTCTTTGCCCCTGCCCCTCTTCCTGCTGCCCCTGTCTTTGTCAGCTGGTAAAAGTGGCTTTTATGGCTTGTCGCTGTTTTCTTTACGAGTCGGGCTGTGTGAGAGAGAAATGCAGACCGAACCATGTGAGGAGAGCGGAAGCCAAAAGGGGGTAATTTAAAAACCACTCCGCCATCTGAAATATTCACAACCACAGCACAA